ACATACTATTTCAGATGTTGAGAGACAAAACAATTTTTTTTCTCGCATACCCCGCCGAACTTTTGCCATTACGGACACTAAATTTCCCTCAGAGGGTGTCCCCGAGGGAGTCAACTGTATTAGAGTTGTTAAAATCTTGTTCTTTGTCTCTAAACCTCAATGATCGCAAAAGCCAACTAAACGTTAAACACACCCAGTGATATTGGCATTTGGAAGCAGTTGATGGTTGATTCAAAGAGGTAAAATTTGTTCTTACCAACAAAACTAGTTTTCCCAGAACCCGTAGGGCCGATCAAGGCAATGCGAATCAGATCAACATCGTCCACCTGCAGACCTGTGAAAGATTCTTTCCTGATCCTTGGGCAAATCTGAAAATCGTACAACAACAGATCCTGTTTGAGTTGAAGGAACGCTTCCTCCTCTTTCAATCTTCTTTCATTTTCTTCTCTTTCACGTCGTTGTTTATCTAACCGCATCCTCTGTGCCTCGTCTTCGTACAAGGCACGTTCCTTCGCTTCGCGTAACGCCAGCTCGCGGTCTTTTTCCATCTTGTCACGCAATTCTCTCATTCTCTCTTCATTTTCCTCTTGAGCCCTCTTCTCGCCTTGCGCACGCGCGCTGGGATCTGTTCTGTCCACTGTCTCATAGTTCTTTATCGAAAAAAGAGAAAAAGCCAGCTTATTTCGCACTAAACACAAATTCTCTGACAAAAGTAATGAATATTTCATGCCCAACCAAGGTTATTATCCATCAACTTTAGTACAATGCGCTTCACGCACCGAATTGACTTAACTTGGCTTTTGGAGAAAAGGCAATCTGCTACTTAGAAAAAGTCAAATTAAGTGTTGCTAAAACAAATACAATTTTATTCACTAAATTCTTAACCCAAAAAATGAAACTTTACCACGTATTTTAGATCTTATGAATAATAAAAACAACACGGGACGATATGCATTATCGCGATCGTATCAATTTACAAAAGTACACGTATTACTGACCAATGATAAGCTTGTTCAACCAAAATCTTTGCGAATGTATGTTATAAAATTATCCCTTTGAGCCACAGAATTGACCTTTTTTTTGCCAAGGGAAGCGAGGCAAACAATCAGGCACGCGTGACTTTCTCCAACAAAATTGCGTGACTGGAGAATTGTAAAAATTTTCTGAGGACAGCGCACAAACAAGGTTAGGCAGATTTAAGAACTTTCGAAAGAAAATGTGCAAATTTATATTTTCAGTATCAAAATCTACCAGCTATTTTATCGAAATATCAAATAATCTAAATATATTGATACACAATTTTACTGGTTCCAAGAATTTGCCATACCGGAACATGAGTTACCCAGAAGTCAGAGAAAGCCGACAAATTTACTTTCGCTTTAGACCATCAATAATTTCTTCATTTCACTGGCCTGTTTTTGTTTTTTTTCCCGTTTTCTTAATAAAGGTGGGGCCTGAATAATATTCAATGGCTCTATTTTCTTCTTACCAGAATGATAACACAAGCAATTCTTGATCGATTATCTTACGAAATCGAAATATCCACGTCTTTCGCTTTCGCTGCGTTACCTTCTGTACTGCAAACTGCTAAGTTTGCCATGTGTAAGTGTTTAGTTGATCTCCAATAGAAATGACTCTACAGAACTAATAGTATTTTAATCTCTCTGTTGCTTTTTTTTTTTAACTTTTGACTGAGCCTGATCGCTTTGATTGTATTTCTTACGAATATTGTAAACAGTTATTCCTGAACTTTGACGTGCCAGAGAACCATTTTATTTGCAAACGAAGGGAAGAGCAAAACACGCTTACAATGTTTGTTAAAGTTGATTTGGTGAACGCAAAAGTTACAAAGTGCATCTACTTACAATTTTAGATTCACTTCCTCCCATTGTAAAACAAATTTCCTCTGTAGTCTCCCACCTCGAAGGAATCGCCGCTTCTTCAACACTATCTGCTTCGACAAAAGCGGAAGTGTGATTTCCCCGAAATTACGTGACCTTTTTCATTCCGAGAACGAACCTTCTTCGGCACCAGTCTCTTACAGTTGAATCAAATTTCCAATCGTCTGTTTTCTAATAATAAACGGCCCTGCTGGCAACCTTTGAAAGCAGCGTTGGAAATTTTCCCGCCACAACATATCAAATTGTTATTTTGCTAATGAATGGCCCTTTCAGAAGTAAGAGGAGAGGCTTAAATCCAAGGATTTCAAGGAGCTCAAAGTTGGGCGAGAAGTGACTGCCTTGGTTCATGTGTCAGTTGTGCGTTACCAATTATCCCAAGATCACCTGATCAGGAATGACGCTTCCTATCGTTGTGAGCTGTATGCTGTGCGGAATTTATGGTTATATATTCCTGTCTGCTGCAAACTAGAAAAGCCAATCGCCTTTAAACGTTAGTCTGCCGTGATAAAGACTTGGCCGATCATAACCAACAACACGGGGGTGAGTTGTCTGACATCAAATTTTTTAGAATCGTGTCTGGTTTTATCATTGTCTGTTTTACTTCTTCAAATGAAACGCTCAGGCGTCTGTGTCCGTTCGGCGGAAGCGAGTGTAGTTGAGGCATGATCTGCTGAGTATTATATTACTAGTTTAACTCCTGTTAGAGCGACGAAGGATTCTAAGGCTATTTCAATTCGTTTAGGCCGTGTTTTGTAGATGACTCCGTGCTTATGTACAAAATACGCTGAATTCAATTCTCTGGGTAAACACGTCAGCGATGTTATCTTTGAAAAGGTTACACTGGGGACCAGGTATTTGAAAATAATTATTGAGGCTAACACGCCAAGAACTCGACGAAAAGAACATTAGGTATTGTTCAGTTTGAATTCTCTGATACTCCGGTGCGAATGATTTTCGAAAACAATAAAATCTTTGTAGTACCTTGTGTTCCATGGCCCTGGCCGAATACGGTAGGACGCCATCTTGAATCGTCACGTTAATTTGTGCCTTTTTGAATCGATCAAAAAGATATTCGCGGCTATGATTATCTGCATATCCCTTGAAGCCAACTAAAATTTTAACTATGGAACGCATTTCAAGGAATGGGAGATGGTACATTTTAAATTTGGCAGAAGGGAAGGGAATATTTCCTTGTTTAATGTAAGAAAAACTTCCTGGTGACCTCATCAGAGTTTTATAATGATATGTTTAGTTTTGACAGCCATTGTTGTTTAATCGTTGATCTCTGTGGCGATAAAAGAATATTTCGATAGACGTTTGATCAACACTTACGTTTCAATAGTTGCACTCAGCATTCAAAATCATGATTAAAGTCGCCCCATGTAAGGTAATCCAGGACAGTATTAGATTCTGGATTCCGCGCTATGGATTCCGGATTTCAAGTGCTGGATTCCACATTTCCGGATTCTAGAAAACAAAAGATTCCATATTTTAGTTTCTGGTTTGCTCTTAATTTTCGCATCATTTTGTTTTCTAGGAATGACTTCAATGGCTGATTTCGTCATTGAAGGACATGTTGTGTGAATGCATGTTTGTCTACTCATATTTCCATAACAAAATTTGATAATTACAAGAAATATATTACAGCAAATCAAGGGATAAATTTTTCTCCTAGGAATATCCGTTGAGACTGTCCGTCCCTTAAGTCCAATGTCCATTAATTCCACACCTTTTTGGCAACTCTGGAGAGGCGAGGCCATATTTCTTTCATTCAGGTTCCTCGAGGTTCTTCAAGTGATTTAACGGTAACAAAAGAACTAATAGTTCAAGTCCTTGCTTATCGTTTTTAGTTTGTTAATAAATGTTGGACTAAAAAGTTGTTCCAACACAGCATAGCATTGTTTGGACTGGCAAAAGGTGGCCAATTTTTCAAATCCAAAATTGACTTAGAATTGCTAAGAAAACAGCAAGAAAATGTTTCCTGATCATCTCAAATTACTTTCTTAACTTCCTTTTAAACAAAAACCATAGTATTGACGAAAAATTTAAACTGAAATATAATTTTAATAAAACCCCGTGTATGTCGTATTGCAAATAAATCGCAGACTAGAAAACTCGCTCTGTAATTTCTGCCTGCTCTTTCAGTTCTTAGGTCAACCAGACACTTTCAACCAATGAAAGCTGACTACTGAAGACAATAATGTTTTTAGTTGAAAAGGTTGAGAGTTTTGCTTTGCCAGTATATAAGGCATTTCCGATCCAGCCTTTCTATTAGTGTAAACTCTTTGAGTGTAAAGCTCTTTTCTTAATCTCCGCATTCTTCAGACGAGCGAAGATAGACACGATGGGTGCTCGAAGGCTTATCTGCAGTCGAGGGGTAGCATAATGCATTGCCAAGAAGTGTTCGCCTGATCTGCGGAGTAAATCCTAGAAATATTCTGAGAGCGAGTCATTTACAAGTTGCCGAGCTCTTCTTTTCCACCAAAAACAATGATAACAAAGCAAAAACAAGTTATGGGAAAGTCAGCGACCTCTGAAGCAATAAGGAGTAATAAGGAAGAGGACCAAAATTGTCGACCATTTCCCGGGAAGGCATGGTGGCTACAAAAATTGGCGGTGGTCTCGCAGTGCCGACCAAAGTATTTCTCGACGAGTGCAAAGTTCTGAAACATGTTAAAAGCATGTGCAATCATTTGGGAACGAGACCGAATCACGTAAATTTTGATGTAAGCTTATTAATTCTGCTCGGAGGATAGGTTTTTATACATCGGCGCATGGTCTTGCTTACCAGGCAGGAGAGCCTTAAAACCATTGAGTCCCAACGTGGAGCATTTTATTACTTTTTATTTCTTTCGGATTTTACACATCCACGATCCACGAGGAGAAAAAAAAATCCCACTTGATAAATCGCTGTAAAAAATTTAATTTTTTCCTTTCAGCTTCACACAAAGGTCACTTGGCGAGCTCTCAGCCAACGAAAAGACCAGTCGAATAATAAACACTTTAGTTGACCTAGAATTTCTTGAAATTCGCGATATTGTACTCAGCTACAACACATGTGGTGCGTACCGTACGAATTTTTTCACTTCAGTCTCTGATATGACCCCTAAGTGGAAGGAAGAGCGAGATTCTTCGGAGGCCAAGCATTGTACATTTTTGACGTCGTGTTGGTTTTCCGACTTTCTGATGTGTTCCATAAAAAAAAATTTTTAATTGCTTTTCATTTCAACATTTCAGCTAAGATTTCTCCGGTAAGTAAGAGAGATATATCAATTATTTATGAATTTTATCCACCAGGAGGTGCACCGCTTGAATTCTTGATTCTCAAGAAGCAATCCAAAGCAATTGTCAGTTACAAATGGCTTCAAGGCTTCGCGGTCTGTTCAAGTTTCCCCTGGCGAACAAAGGAGACCAAGGAATCGAATCCGTCAAATAACGAAAAACAGGTTCGTCATTCTGCCTTTGTGAAAAATCATCGTGACCAAAGTGAGGTATCCTGGTATACTTTAGGGTTGAAGAGTAATATATCTGTACATATCTACTTGCTAGAGTTTATCTGATGGTGTTAATATGTCCAAATACAGAATGCATTTCAATAATGACTTGATTTTCAGTTTTTACCTGGTATTGGCAACACTGTAAAATGCCAGAAAAATGTCTTCCTACTTAGATAAGTCAGCTGTTCTAACACAACCGATTTTTTTATACAACGGCTGATGCAGCTTGGTAATCACAGAAATAAGATCTATTCCCCCTCCCATAACACTTACAGAGGAGGCTTTTTATTTCATACATTTTGTACTGAACTAGATGATAAACATTTGTTCATACAATAAAAGAAATTTGTAGCAATTCGATCGCGTCGTTCATTGTTTATACTTGTCATGAGAGAACACGTTTTTAATTAGATGTATACTTTTTAATGTTGCATTCATCTATTCAGAGGTTAAAGTGGTCACCTGGAACTAAAGTGGTTGGAATGTATGATTTCGAGGAAGAAGATATAGAGGTAATCGTTTGAATTATTTTACAAAAAATTGACCCGTATTTGAGGGAGCGGTGATCTTACAATGCTGGCTGATTAATCAACATTTGCTTATTTTTCCTTTGCAAGTTAGAACGCACAAAATTAATCCGTCTTTTACACAAAGGAGAACCTCTTTGAGACTGTGTTTCATCAGTTCACTATGATTTTTAACAAGGAAATAATGACTGGCCGAACTGAACTGAGCTCACCATTTTCAATTTGTATTGTAGCTACTTTTCGTTTATGAACAAAAAGGGACAAAGCTAATTAGCTAGTTCTTCAAAGAACATAATTTCATTCATGCGTTTGAAAGAAACTTTACTTAATGTATCAGGATATGAGGTAAATATGGAAACAAACCACTGCTGGGATAAAAAGGCTGACAGATATATTTTTTTATTTAGGATTTGTCGTTTAGAAAGGGAGAAGTTCTCGTCATTGAAGGGGTTGTTGAGGTAAGGGCATATAAAAACCTTGCAAAACTGTTTTGCATTTCCCGGGCTGTTTTGTGCGTTGTGATAGCTTATGGAACTCAGGTGGAAAAAGGTATATTTTCGTGCTTCCTCTTGTTTGTGAGTTAGGTTATTCAACGTATAAATTTCAGGTGAGACTCATCTTGCTCAGGTTGAAAAATTTCTCGGAAGGTTGGGGAACAGCATGGCTGCCGAGTGAATGACATAATGAAAATGTGGTTTAGTCGTATCAGTCAGCAAGTTAAATCTATGAGTGGAAAGGAATTGTATTTACTGGGCCTACGGACCAGTCTATCTAACAGGCGTCTACAGAAGGATAGAGCATTAATGATGTTCATACTTACTCTCCGAGACTCGAACCTTAATCTCCTTCACCGTTACTCGGCGCTCTATTAGCTGAGCAGACCAGTTGGCCGATTTAGTTGGTTACTGAGGTCTCGGATTAGTGAATGTCAGTCATTATATAATCAATAACATTTAAATATATGGGAAGAGATCTTAAAGATGTAAGGTAATTTCAATTTGGGTTTATCTGACGGATATCGTTAATTCTGTCTCTTGTCTGTTTTCTTTAGGATATCAACTGGTATAGAGCAGTTAATTGTGATGGACGAGTAGGGATGATTCCTTACAACTTTGTTAGGGAACTTAAGCCTGTGGAACTCAAGCCCATGTCGTAAGTTAATCTTTTGAATGCCTTCAGAAGAGTTAGATCTCAATGTTTGCAAATAGCCAAGTTTGCTAAAATTCTGTAGAGTTTGAAAATTGTTTTTTAATTATAGTTCACCATGATAATCAAATAATTCTCTTGACCACGCAAAGGCTCAGCGTAAACCAAAATATAGTGATTGGCAATAGTGGCGAGCGCCTAGCGCGAGCTCTCAATTTGAGTCAAAATGGCCATGCTAGGGGGGTTACGCGTATTATGAAGGTCATAAGCGATAAAAAAGAAGGTGGTGATGCCAACGAAGAAGATGATAAATTCTAAATTTCGCAATGCGAGTTAAACCGATGAAACTGTATCTATGTTAAAAGTTCCTTCACCTTCCGGATTGCGATTTCTTTTAACTTAATTGTTCTTGGTAAGTTGCATAATCTTTTCAAACCTTTCAGTCTTTTAATTCACCTGCTGCTTGTGCATTTTTGGTGGACGTGTTAAATTGTAGACGTCACCCGTGGTTACAGCTTGATTTTTGTTTGAATCAAAATCACAGATGGTTTCATGGAAATTTAAGCAGAATAAAAGCTGAAAGGCTCTTCAACCCTCGCGAAGAAGGAATGTTTCTGATAAGGAACAGTAGAAACTATCAGGGGGACTATGCTCTTTCGGTCTGGTATGTCTGTAGTTTGTCGTAATTACCGAACTACAAAGTTAACTTTTCTTCGAGGAATACCCAGGAGATAAACGCTTCGCTCATCACAAGGTGTCACTGGCGAACTCTTTACTTAATGTTCTTGGAAATTTGGTCTTAATAACCCCTAGGTGGTACGTAGTCATCACTTAGCTCCTTAACGTGATTCCACGGGAGAAAAAGTTTTCGAACGATATTTTTTAACCTTTCTTAAATATTCCCTACCAATGTCTGTTTCGAAAAATACAATAGAAAAAACAGGTCACCGTCTGTGCTTCAGAGGTATATATTAGGCTGGTCTTACCCCATTCATGCCTGTGCTGTAGTGGCTAATTTTCCCCTCATTAACTATTTGGCAGTCTACATCGAAATTCCTTTACCAATGATCCCTTATTGTGTGCATTCTGTAGCTCCAACAAATCATTTCACCATTTTGACATCTTAGCCCACCGCTCAGAAGTGTACATATCCTGCATTCTTCTTCACAGCCATGCTAAAAAGATTGAACACTACAGAATCATAAAGAAAGATGATGGAAAACTTACAATAGACGATGAAGTTTTTTTTGGAAGTCTTTTTGAATTTGTAGAGGTAAGAAAGGTATTTATATTAAGGTGTATAGTAATCAGTGCTCCAGTACACTGTTATAGGACTTATATTTTCGTCACTAGGTCAAGACTCTTGCAAATGTTAACCACCAGACACAGTTACCGTGACGTCATGACATCATAGTATTATTATAATTAGCTTCCAATTCAATTACGGTAAGACCTCGGGTATTTGGAGGTTTCGCCCCATTGCGAGTTCGCCACCTATCACGTTGAGGAGATCGCCTCCTGAGGTAAAAATAAAAAAAAAAAAATTCGCCTCCTCTTTTACAAATTCGCTCTCACTGAAATCTTTCGGCTCGTTTCTTTACGAGGGAAAGTATTCTTTTGTATATTTTGTTAAGTCACGGTACCTCGAATAGCAGAGCAAAACACTGAGAACAGAGCAAACGAATCTCGGATGAAGAACATGGCAAATATTTGATTGATTTAACCTGTGCTGCTCCTGAGACGTAAATCCCTCTTATAAAAACACATGTTCACACTACATTGTGTTCATTTGACCTGTTCCCAATGGTCGCTCCTTTGCATTACGGTGTGGCTTTTCTTAGAATTATTCAAGGTCAGCGAATGGACTTTGCACGAGATTAGCAAAACCTGTGTATAGCAACATTCTTCGAAGTTCCTTTGATGAAGGTAAGTGGCCATGCAAGATCTGTTTATTGTCAATAAACTTCTGAGTGACCTCTCCTTAATTGCTGATAAGTAACTGTAACGCCCTTGAGTTTAAATGCCTGAGGTGACATAAATTTTCGGAATCTGTTGTTATTTTACCGTGGGCTCTGGTGATGGGAAAATATTTTACCTTCAACGAAAGATTTCCCAAATATTTTCTGTTAAGTTTTCATAACAAAATTAGGTTTAAGAAATATGAGTAATCTCCACTTTATTTACCTTGTACAAAAGTAAAGTGGCTGAGGAATTTTTGTTGTCGAATCTCTCAGTTATTCCAATTTCAAACCTTTGGCTTACTCACGAGGGAAGGCTCAGCCATAAGACCCCCTTACAAAATTCATCTCTTGTTGCTGAAAGAGCAGCGTAAAAATGTTTCCATGTTTCATCACGTAAGTAGTTGCTGCTTACGTGTCAAGATCGCATTTAAAGAGATCAGATCAATCAGAGGGGAGAAAAGATTAAACTCAGGTAACTCGAACATTCTAGGGTTCGAGCTTTAAGGATATATATGTTTATTGTCCAACTGCACAAAGTAGATTACAAAAAACGCGCGAATAGAGTACAAATATCCTGAGATATTGTACGGTTATTTGGACAGTTGTTTATTTTGTACTGTAAAAAAACCTGTTTAACCAGTCGGCTGCGCGCGCTACGCTTCTCTATCCGCTCAGCTTTTCCTGCCTCATGAGAAATGAACAGAAAGACTTAACAGAAAAAAAAAGCAGTTGGATGATAAATAACTTATTAGACGTTTGGTGTGTAGTATCGCTGAGTATTTTTACTCACGGAACAGCTCATAAAAGTACATGTACTCAACGATGCTACACAACAAAACGTCCAATAAGATTTATGTATTTTCACGGCTGTGCCGTATTTTGACGAGCCTGCCGGGCGATTCAAAATACAAAAAACGAGTAAAAGTACTCAACGATACAACATTTCAAAACGTCTTATAAGTTATTTATTATCCAAATGCTTTATATAATGCGCATCTCTAACAAGGCAGGAAAAGCGAAGTAGATAGAGAAGCGTAGCACGCATAGCCGACCGGTGAAACAGGTAATTTTTACAGTACGAAATATCAAACTGTCCAGTTATTGCGTGATATTTGTACTCTATTCGCGGGTTATTTTTAGTCTACGTAGTTGGGCAATAAGTTGAAGTATACACTAACGCTAATAAGTGGGATGTAACCTCAAGTTGTAGCGAGTGGGCAGTTTGAGATCATTGGATGCGATTTATAATGCCATAGATTAACCAAGGTATAGAATCTGTACTAAATTTGTTTTGTTTTCAGGTGGGTGGGAAATAG